AGATAGATAGATAGATAGATAGATAGATAGATAGATAGATGATAGATTTTTTTTTGAGACAGGGTTTCTCTGCAGCTTTGGAAACTGTCCTGAAACTAGCTCTTGTAGGCCAGGCTAGCCTCAGACTCACAGAGATCTGCCTGCCTCTGCCTCCTGAGTGCTGAGATTAAAGGCATGTGCCACCACCACCCAGCTTTGAAGAATATATTTTAAATCAACACAGTGGAAGGCCCCAAGTCCTAAAGATATGCATTCCATGGCATTTGCTTCGGGACATAAAATCTCTTCTTTCCCAAACTAATAACAGAAGTCAGTGGAAGACAAACATTGTTTGGGAAGCCCCAAAACATACAGACAGACTTTAGTACAAATCAGTTGGCACATGCCTATGTTCATTATCTTCCCTCCCTTGTCTCCCAAACAGCTCTTGGCCAGGTCCTAGATAGACAGTCAGGGTATTTTCTTTTGTGTTTTATTACATTTATATTTAGTGTGTGGTTGTGCACACCACTGGTGGTCAGAGACAACAGGTGGGATTTGGTTCTCTCCCTCCACCATGTAGGTCCCAGAGACTGAACTGGGATCATCAGCCTTAGTACCAGGTGCCATTACCTGATGGCCGTGTTTTAGCTTTAATCCTATTTCATTTAATTTTTTAAATATTTAGTTTGACTTTTATTGACATACGTCTCTCTCTCTCTCTCTCTCTTTCTCTCTCTCTCTCTCTCTCTTTCTCTCTCTCTCTCTCTCTCTCTCTCTCTCTCTCTCTCTCTCTCTCTGTGTGTGTGTGTGTATGACTGCAGGTGTCCATGGAGACCAGGAGAGGGCAGCAGATCCCCTGTAGCTGGAATTAAGGTATTTGGGAGTCACCTGATGTGGGTGCTGGGAACCAAACTCTGGTCCTCTACAAGCACAGAAAGCATTAACTGATGAGCTCTCTCTCCAGTGCTTCAACTCCCTTTAGTGAAAATAATGTTGGTAGAAATGACTCAGAGTGTGCCACCACCCACTAATTGAGATTGTGATTTGAGAAAGATGAAAACATACTACCATGCTTTCAATTGTTATTTATAAAACTTGGGAGATTCCAGTTCTATGTCACATGATGACTAGAAACTATTTCAGGAGCTCCGATCCCATCTAAGGCCATACTGCATGAACCTGATCTTCAGCGCCAGTGTCTGCCCTCACCCAGTGACACCACATTCCTGAAAGTCTCCAGCATCACGTCGCAGTACAGCTTCCTCTGGGCAGTGTCCAGCATCCCCAGCTCCTCCTCGCTGAAGACCACAGCCACGTCCTTGAACGTCACCATCTCCTGTGACACCAAACACTCAACTTCAACCTCGGTCTTCTGCAAGAAGGACAGCTCTGAGAAATGCGGGGAAGATGAGCAGGGAGCAACCCTGAGCTAAGTGCTCAGAGTCCATGTTTCCATGCTATTCGCCCACCCTTTATTACTGTTCCTTTTTGAATTTTGAGACAGGGTCTTGCTTTGTAGCCTTGGATGATCAGGAACTTGCTTTGAAGACCAAGCTGGCCCTGATCATGTGTTGATCTTCCCACATCTGCTCCTGCCTCCCAAGTGCTGGGATTACAGGTGTGAACCACCATGCCTGATAAATTCATCTGTTTAATCACATAATTTTTAAACGTTTTTTTTTGATGCTGGGAAATGAAAGATTGAACCCAGAGCCTCATGCATATGAGGCAACAGTTCTACCATTGAGCTATATCCCCAGCCCTGTTCTTCTTGCACAGTTGTATTAAGTAGAGCATCCCGACTGGAACACTGCTGGCACTATATGCCAGGCACTTTGCAGCTGTGGGGGCTGTCTAGTACACTGTGGGATGCTCACCATCATCTCCAGCTTATATAATAAACACCACTGGATCCCCCAAAGCAGGGTGACAGAACTGTTTCCACTTGTTGTCTGGAGGTGAGTTCCATGTGCTTTAAGTCTCACCATGGCCAACGGGGCTACTTTAACTTTCCATCTGGAAACCCAGAACATTCAGGGTCCCCAGATGAACCACAGTCATCCCAGGTGAGAGTCCACTTAAGAGTGAACCAGGAAGAGGTATCTTTGTCTCAGCATCTTGCACCCCCCCAGGATAAGGTCTTGCACCCTCAGTCACAGGAGTCCTTTGGAGTCTGATGGATGTTGACTTCCTAGGCAGACCTCAGCCATTGTCTGAGCTTCAACCCTCCCAACTCTTTGGAATGCACTAAACCCAGTGCTTCCCCACAGGGTGGCTCTGAGGAACCTAGCAAGTTGCCTTGTGTGACCAGACTTTTCAATCTGAACACATTATTCCACCAATACAACACATTCACGTAGTAATGGAAACATGGAAATCAGTTAGTAAACACAGCCAGGGTATGACTCAGCTATGAGAAAGAAATCCTAGCTTATGTGAAAATGACCATCTTCTATGATTAATTAGAACACATTGAACAATATATGCTCCATGCAGAGCAACTAAAGTATCCTATGTCAAAAGCATGTTTTAGGGGCTGTAAAGATGGCTCAGTAGCTAAGAGCACTGGCTGCTCTTCCAGAAGACCCAGGTTCAATTCCCAGCACCTACAGCTGACTGTAACTCCAGTTCCAGGAGATCCGATGCCCACTGTCTTTTGGCCTTTGTGAGCATCAGGCACACACATGGAGCACAGACTTATATGCAGGCAGGACACTCATACAAATAAAATATTGTAATGCATTTTAATTTAGTATTCCTAAATAACAGGAACAGTAAGGAAACTTCCTTGAATTTCTTCTGGAGGAGAATATTCATTTATATAAATATTACTAGAATATTCCTTAACACATTAAAACTGCTAAACTATTTAAATATCCGTGGGTAGAGAAAAAACATCTGTTGCAAGTACCTCTTCCATGACAGATCATGTAGATTTATGGGAGCATGATGTCATTGAAAACATGGAGTAAAAGTCAGAAATCTCAGCACTGAGGGGCAAGCAGCAGGATTGAGACTTTGAGGCCAGACTTAGCTACACAGTAAGACTCGGCCTCTTAAATAAAAAAAGAAAAGAAAAGAAAAGAAAAACAGAGTTTGAAATACAGCTCAGTGATAGAAGCCCCACCTAGAATCCCCCAGTGAGGGGCTGGGGGTGTGGCTCAGTGGTGGAACACCTCCCTAGCACAAGGAAGGCCTTGGATTTGATATTCAGTACTGAATAAGAATTTAAGATTATAAGATTTGATATTCAGTACTGAAAAAGAATTAAGGTGCATAATATTGCTTAAAAAGATATAATTTAAAAGTCTTATCTATACTATTATTACAAATAAAGCATGTGTCATGGAAAAAAGAAGAAAGAAAATTTGTTGGGGAATATTATTTTAAGGTGTGTGGGTTTTGTTAATGTCGCATTTCTTTAACTCTGTGAAGCAGTGCTTCTTTGCCTGCCTAAAACACCTGATGGTCTTTTAAAGAGCTGAATGACCAATAGTCAGGCAGGAGCAAGGATAGGTGGGGCTGGCAGGCCAGAGAGAACAAACAGAAACGAAGAAGAGAACAAAGGGAGGAAGATGTCAGGGGCCAGCCACCCATCCAGATGTGGAGTAGGAGTGAAGTCAGAAAAGCAAAAAGCCCAGAGGCAAAGGGTAGATGGGATAATTTAAGATAAGGAAAGCTGGCTAGAAACAAGCCAAGCTAAAGCCAGGCATTTGTAAGTCAGAATAAGCCGTGTGATTTACTTGGGAGCTGGGTGGTGCCCCCCCCCCAAAAGTCAAAAGAGTAAAACATCCCAATAACAGAAATTGGGTGTTTTACAAACAAAACAACAGTAAATGTGGATTTATTTAGCATTTCCCACTTTTCCATACTGGGCTCATTTATCCAACTTCAAGGTGAATATTAGATATTATTAGATATATATGTGTGTGTGTGTGTGTGTGTGTGTGTGTGTGTGTGTGTGTGTGTTTTGCTTGCCTATATGGTCTGTACCACATGCATACTTGGTGTCCATGGCGGGCAGAAGAGAATGTCAGGTCCCCTGGAACCACAGCTATGGAGAATTGGCAGTCACCGCATGGCTGCTGGGAATCAAACTTGGTCTTTTACAATAACATTCTTAACTGCTGAACCATCTCTCAGTCCCTTGAAGTAATTTTTAGAAATAAAAAGAAATTAATATATGTTAAAATAAAAGGTTAATAAGCATTTAGCAACAGGTTCTTGTTTCAAAAACAAGTTATTTTATGTCTATGAGTGTTTTGCCTACATGCACGTCTATGCACTACATGCAGAGGCCAGAAGAGGGCAGCAGATCCCCAGAACCTGGAGTTACAGATGTTTGGAGTGCTAGGCATGGAACCTGGATCCTCTGCAGGAGCAGCCAGCACTATAAACTGCTGAGCCACCTCTCAGCTCTGCCCAACAAATTCTCAAACACCTACTCCCCAGAAAAAAGCAAGATGTCGGAATCCTTGAGAAATTAGACTACACTTTTTGTTGTTGTTTTGTTTTGATTTTTGTATTTTGGAGACAGGGTTTCTCTGTGTAACAGTTCTGACTGTCCTGGTAGACCAGGCTGGTGAGCACCACCACCAGTCAGACAACACTTTGAAACTTAGAAAAAGTCCAATTTAGCCAGTGTGGTGGCACATGCCTTTAATCCCAGAACTCGGGAGGCAGAGGCAGGCAAATGCCTCTTTGTTCAAAGTCAGTTTGGTCTATGCAGTAAGTTCCAGGCCATTCAGGGCTACCTAGTGGTAACCAGGCTCAAAAAAAAAAAAAAAAAAAAAAAAACCGAAAAAGCTCAACTCACCTTGACCTTGGTCATCCTGTTGTCTTCCTGGGGCACAGCTGAGTCTGGGGAAGACGTAATCAGGGAGGGAAGACAGCCATGAGACTCTGGTCAGCCATGTTTCCAGCCCATGTGGCTGAATTACGTGACCAGCACCAGCCACGGTGTCCGCTTCTCAGTGTGGTGTGATGACAAGAATGAGCTGGATTTCAGCCACAGCTCACACTGTCCACTCAGGACCCTGTAAAGGAGACCAATGCCAGCCACACACAACACATCTCCTACGGGTCTCAGGACTGCGGTCTCAGGTTCTAGGGCCAGCAGAGACAGCAGAAAGTGCTGTTTAGACTCAGAGGCATTGACCCAAGGAGTGGAGTTGGGTTGAAAAGTATGTGACTCAAATAAAGGGCGCAGGCAGATGGGGGAGGGGAGGGGGCTCATGCCCGTTTGCGGTGTTGGCGGTTTGGCTCAGGTTCCCCATCCCCCTTGGGACCTAGGAAGCAGCAATGGCAGAGAGCTGGACCCCCAGCAGGAACAGCCGGTGACCTGGCCTGGGTTCCTCTTCTCTCTGGTAATCATTATGCATAGACTTTGCTGTTAACATAAGGTAATACAATCCCCAGATTTCCTTCTTTACTTGAGTACAACGAGTTCCTCGGTGCATCAATTCTGTCTTTGTCTATCCTGTGTATGACAGGGTTTCAGTATTTAGCCTAGGCTGGTCTATAATATGTATGTAGCCCAGGTTGGCTTTGAACTTTTGGTTCTCCCTACCTGGGCCTCCAAGTCTTTCATCCATAAAATGAAGATCGTGAACAATGAAGAGAATTAATGTGACAGGGTTGTTCTAAAAATTACATTATGAGCCAGGCGGTGGTGGCTCGCACCTTTAATCCCAAGTCTCGGGGGTCAGAGACAAGGTGGATCTCTGTGAATTCGAGGTCAGCCTAGTCTACATAGTGAGTTCCAGGACAGCCAGGGAAACCCTGTCTCAGGGGGAAAATGTTTAAAAAAACATGTACACACAACGATGGTTTTAAAATATATAACAAGGAATATATTGCTCTGGACTGAAGAGATGGCTCAGCAGTTAAGAGCACTAACTGCTCTTAGGTTCTATTCCCAGCACCCATATTCTTAGCTCACAACCCCCTGAAATTCCTGTGCTGGGGGATTTGATGCTCTCTCGTGGCCTCCTTGGGCACTGCTCACACATTGTGCACATATATACATGCAGGCAAAATCCTCCTGCCCATAAAATAAAGTAATAATAATAAAAGGACTCACAAAAGGGCCCAGAGCAGCAAAGATGGACACGCTGTTCCTCACACACACCTGGGAAGAAACTAGTGTTTAGCTGGTTGTATGATGTTGGTCCCAACACCTAAACCAGTGTGCGCATACTCACCCAGCTCTTAAAAGGGCAGAAGCAGAATGTCATTCCCAGCATTACTGTGGAGACCAATGGACATATGTGCGTAGCACCCTTTAGGTATTTTAGGGAGTTCTCAAAAAATAAAGACAAGTGTTGCACCCTTGGACAAATGAGGCTGGAGGCTGGTGGGCCCTGAACCGGCTCTCACACTGCGGCTAGCATTCCAAACCTTGTCTTTTCTTTTGCTTTTTTCTTCTTAGTTTTCTAAGACGGGGTTTCTCTGTGTAACAGCTCTGGCTGTCCTGGAACTCGCTCTATAGACCAGGCTGGCCTTGAACTCAGAGATCTACCTGCTTCTGCCTCCCGAGTGCTGGAGTAAAGGCATTGCACCACCACAACCTGGCTCCAAGCCTTGTCTCGCTGATGCTTTTGAAGTCAAATATAGACAAATGGAAGTCATGGTGCCACACACAGAGGACTAACTCAGATCCAGGGGTAAGGAAGGGTGGTTTAGAAGGAGAAAGAACATGGAAGGAGTAGTAGGAATGGCTCAGCGAAAGGACACTCACTGCTGGGGTGGTCTGAATCACAAGGTCTATAAGTCTTGGGTATTAGGAGGTGTAACTTGCTGGAGGAAGTGTGTCACTGGGGGAGGGTCTTGAGGTTTCAAAAGCCATGAGCCATCCCCACTTAGCTCTCTGCTTCCTGTGTGTGGTCTCCCAGCCCCTGCTCTAGCACTATCCCCACCTGCCAGGACTTGTCCAGAATCATAACTGTATGTCAATTTTTTAATATTTTAATGTCGATGGATTAAATAAGTAAATAAGCCAAGTAAAGGAATTCTGGCCAGCTCAAGCGTGACAAGCATGGCTCTGGCAGGCCTTGTCCTTCTCCCCATTCCCTCTGCCTTACTAAAAACCGTTAGATTACATGGCTAAAGCTAGCCCCCAAGGTCCATTCCCTTATTTGGTCCTTCCTCCTCCTGAGGCTGAGTGCCAAGGTCCAGCTATCAAAATATTGAAGTCCAGCAATCAAAAGCCCCCTTTGGCTCACCTAATTAACATGCCCAGCTAAAATTAAACACCTCATCCTAACACTGGGTTTTCCCTTTTATCTTTAGTCTCCTCTCTATCCGGAGGCAGTCCTTTGTCTCCCACTTGGGGACAAATACCCCTTTCCCCTCTCTCTTGCCCCCCTTCCCCTTCTCCCCTATCTCTGTCACCTCCACATCCTAGCCCACCCTAACACAGACCTCCCCTTTTCCTTCTCTTAAAAATAAAGAAATGCAAACAAGAGTCACACTTTAGTGGCCGGTATACCTGCAGAAGAGCAAAGAAAGGCAAGCACCTTTTTTCTAATTGCACTGTATTTTGTTTGAGTCAGGGTCTCACTACATAGGGTAGCCTATACTAGGGGAGTTTGAGGCCATCTTGGCCTACACAAGACTCAGTCCCACACACGAGGATTGCTGAACTGTCCACTCTGTGGTGTTTTTGAATGGCAGTCCTAACGAATAGAAAAGTTCCTCTCTTGGTCTTCATATACAGACATAGTAAATTTGAAGTCCTACTGAGTAAACATCCCAAAAAGGAGGTTCCTTGAAGCTCACTGACTTGCTAATCTTATGGGATGGAGGAGCACCAGGTTCAGAGAGAGAGAGAGAGAGAGAGAGAGAGAGAGCGCTATCACCACACACACCTATCACCCCTACACATACATACACACAGACATGCACACATGAGCACACACAGGCACACACACGCATGTGCACACACACATGCACACTATTCAAGGGCAAAACGAAACACATTGGGAGAGGAAGGAAAGTAGGAAGACTTTCGAAAACAAGACAGTAAGAGAGTGACTGTCACATAGGAGTTCATTTTACTCTATCTGAGAGTATCTGGCAATTTCCATAGTGAAAGAAAACACTGTGAATACTCTGACAACCATTTCCCAGACTCACCTGTGAACACCACGCTCTTCCTTTTCGAAACAGGTCTGGGGCTACGGAGTAGGCTTATCAGGGAAGAACACTGCTGCTCTTGCTGAGGAGCCAGCACCCACTTGGCGGCTCACACTCATCTCTAACTCCAGTTTCAGGGGATCCCATGCCTTCATCTGAACACTCCAGGTACCAAGCAAGTACACAGTACAAGACTTACATGCAAGTAAAACACTCCCTCACATAAAGCTAAAAATGGAAAAACAAAACAGGTCACAGAGGGACTAGAGAAATGGCTCAGCAGTTAAGAGCACATATCGCTCTTGCAGAGGGTGTGAGTTTGGTTTGCAGCACCCACCCTGGGTGGCTCACAACCACCAATAACTCCAGCTGCAGAAGGTCCAACACCTGTGGACTCATGGACACTTGCTGCCCACTGACAGGCATGTGTTTGGATGTGTATGTATGTTCAGGAGTGGGTGTGGGCATATGCACATACTCATAATTTTAAAAAGTAAAAATATATCTTTGACAATTAAAAATTCCTTAAGCAGTCAGGCAAAAGGGTCGGAAGAAGCAAAGTATGGTGGCACACACCATAATTTCAGTTCTGAGGTGGGGGGATTGCAGGAGAGTCTAGTGGGTTCTAGTGCATCCAGGCTACAGACCGAGATCCTACCTCAAATAAATAAATAAATAAAAACTGTCATAACATCTCTGACACAAAGGACTGCATTCACAATCAGGGTGACAAATTTCCGTGGTCACGAGAACACTGCATGTACCAAGAACTATACAAACATACAAGATGTGTGTTTGTATAGTTACCAAACCAGATACCACATACAACACACATATGTAAATATATGTCCCTATATATATACATATGCATGCATTTTTGTACTCTATAATTGATTCTAAAACCAAATGTATTACAGATGCTCTTTGCATTCCTTTTTGCACAAGGGGAAACTAAGGCACAGAAAGATTCAGGGTGTGAGAAAGGTGAGGGAAAGTGAACTTGTCATCACCAACTCGAGGAGTTTCTGCAAACGCTGCCAAGTCCAGGTCTTCCTTGGGGCCAAACCCCCAGAATTGCTAAACTTTCCCCCAAATCAGAAGGCAGCGGTTGCTGCCGTCCCGCAACATCAGCAACAATGTCTCATTTCGGTGACCCGGAAGAGATCCTCGCCCATCCCGTTACCAGACCGTGGAAGTCAAAAGAGATCAGGAGGTACTCAACTCCACCACGACCCTCTCACCTTCCTCGAAGGAACGCATTCACAGAATCTCCAACCTCTGCAGGCAAAATTCCCCGGTAACGCCAAGCTCCAAAACTACAACTCCCAGGATTCCTAGGGGCAGGAGCCCGGGGCCGAGTTTGCGCCGTCACCCCATATGCAGGTGGCGTTTCCTAGAGTCCTCAGATTCATTGGCTTTACTCTCTAGCCCTCAGGCAACCGAAATCTCACCAAACATGCGGATTATACTTTAGTTTATCCCATAAACGATTTCCAAAGTCAAGCTTTCCCTTAGAAGTGCTCGGACCATAGAAAGCGTCTGGACTACATGTCCCAGAATTCTCTGAAAAGCTCTTTTCCCACCAGCTTACAATTTTCCATTCAATAAACAGGTGGCCTCTGGGCATGGCGGGCACTCCCGGCATTTCAGTGCTTCGAAAGATAAGGCTAGAGTCCTGCGTGGGTTACTGTCTTAGTTCCTGTTCTATTGCTGTGAAGAGACACCATGACCATGGTAACCACTATAAAAGAAAGCATTTAAATAGAGGCTTGCTTGTTGTTTAGAAGGTCAGTCAATGCTCCTCATGTCAGAAAGCAGACAGGCATGGTCCTGGAGCAGTAGCTGAGATCTTTACACCTGACCCACAGGCAACAGGCAGAGAGAAAAACAGGGCCCTCCATGGGCTTTTGAAACTTCGAAACCCACCCTCAGTGACACACGTCCCCCAACAAGGCCACACCTTCCAACCCTTCTGATTCTCAGACAGGTCCACTCCTGTCTTCAAATATATGAACCACTCTCATTCAAACCACCATGGTTACAAAAGGAGAGCATGTCTCAAAAACACAAGAAAAAAAATATCAGGTTGTGCCTGAATCAACTTCTCTTTTTTCTGTTTCACACACTGATCCACACGCTGGGATGGCTGTACTTGGCTGTTTCACGCACTGGGATGGCTATACTTGGTTGTTTCACACACTGATCCACACGCTGGGATGGCTGTACTTGGCTGTTTCACACACTGATCCACATGCTGGAATGGCTGTACTTGGCTGTTTCACACACTGGGATGGCTATACTTGGTTGTTTCACACACTGATCCACACGCTGGGATGGCTGTACTTGGCTGCCAACTTGACTACATCTGGAGTTAATGAAAACCCAAGTGACTGGGTACACCTGGGAAGAATTTTTTATTTTTCTTTTCTTTTTTTTTTTCTAAAGATTTGGTTTTTGATGTACGTTAGGGTTTTGCCTTCATTTTTGTCTGTGGAAGGATGCTGGATTCCTTGGCATTCTCTTTAACTGGAGTTAAAGACAGCTGTGAGCTTCCATGTGGATGCTGGGAATTGAACCCAGGCCCATTTGGAAGAGCAGTCAGTGCTCTTAACCACTGAGTTGCCTCTCCAGCCCAGGGATTTTTTCTTAATTAAATCATTTGAAGGGAGAAGGACCACTTCTAACCCAGATCTTTTGAGGTGGGAAGATCCACGTTTAATCTGGGCTGCGCGTTCTGTGAGCCTACATAGAGGACAGGGAGGAGCAAGCTTGCCCGCTGCCTGATTGCTCTCACTCTCACTACCAAGTCCTTCACTGCATTAGAGCCAATTTCTTCAGGACTCTGGTGTCTACTGAAGACCAGCTAAGACATCCAGCCTTGTGGACTGAGCAACTACTGGGTTCTTGCACCCTCCGTTGGTAGAGAGCTAGCTGGACCACAGCCTGTAAGCCATTCTAATACATCTCCTTTCTATATTCATTAGATACATTCTATAAATTCCATTCCTCTAAAGAACCCTAGTGCACAAGGTGTGGTGGTTTGAATGAAAATGGCCTCCATAGAGTCATAGGGAACGGCACTATTAGGAGGTGTGGCCTTGTTGGAGCGGGTGTGCATTGTTGGAGGAAGTGCGTCACTAGGAGTGAGTTTTGGGGTCTCAAATGTTCAAGCAAGGCCTGGGTGGCTCACTGGCTCTTCCTGCTGCCTGTGGATCCAGATGTAGAACTCTCAACTCCTTCTCCAGCACTATGTCTGCCTGTATGCCACCATGCTTCCTACCACGATGATAACGGACTGGTAAGTCAGCCCTAATTAAATGTTTTCCTTTATAAGAGTTGCCATGGCCATGGTGTCTCTTCCCAGCGATAAAACTCTAAGACACACAAGGTTGTTGTGAAATATTATTTTAAGATGTGTTACATTTGTTTATGCTGTGGACTATTTGTTTAATGAGGCAAAGATATGTTGCATTTGTTTAACTTTGTGAAACTGTGTTACTTTGTCTGCCTGAAACACCTGAACAGCCAATAGCAAGACAGGAGAAAGGATAGGTGGGGCTGGCAGGCAGAGAGAATGAATAAGAGGAGAAATCTGGGAAGGGAGGTCAAGAACCGAGGAGTGAGAAAAGAATGCGCCAGCAGCCGCCCAGCCAGATGCAGAATAAGAAAGAAAGAAAAGATATACAGAAAGGTAAAAGCCCAGAGGACAATTTAAGGAAAGCTGGCAAGAAACAGGCCAAGCTAAGACTGGGCATTTATAAGTAAGAATAAGACTCTGGGTGGGTGATTTATGTGGGAGCTGGGTGATAGGTCCCCAAAAGACCAAAAGAGTTAATAGAAAAAAAAAGCACATGACCTATGAAAGAGAAGAAAATGAGCCAATGCGGGCCCAAGAGGGCTCAGCAGATAAGAGGTCTTGCACCTTTGCAGTTTGGCTCCCAGTACCCACATGGTGACATCTCAAAGAATGCCTTTAAGGCCAGCACTAGGAGATCTGCTGCCCTCTTCTGGCCTCTATGGGCACTGCACACACACATAAGTAGAAATACATCTTTTTAAAAAAAAAGAAAGAAAGAAAGAAATATGCTTCTTTTTAAAGAAACAAATAATGATAATAATAGATGAGGTATTTGAGCTGGACTGGGTTAAAAAAAAAACTATACAAGCCTGCACTTACTCATGTCCAAGAAGCAGACTGCTCTGTGACTTGACTGCTCTCAATTCACGGTACCTGGCTCCTCCATGCTCTTCATCACATGCACTATTCTGCACCAAATCGCATGATGTAAAACTTCCTGCCACCTCTAAAAGGTATTTTCCTTTGTCCTGAGGATTTGGTTTAGAAAGTCTCCTTGGGGGAGATAGCTTATAGAAATATTCTGAAGAGGCTCCTCTTGGGGGGGGGGGGGGGGGGGGGGGGGGGGGGGGGGGGGGGGGGGGG